ACGAACAAAACGAACAAAACGAACAAAACGAACAAAACGAACAAAACGAACAAAACGAACAAAACGAACAAAACGAATAAAACGAAATAAAACGAAACGAATAAAACGAAATAAAACGAATCGAATAAAACGAATAAAACAAATAAAACGAATAAAAGAAATAAAACGAATAAAACAAATAAAACGAATAAAACGAATATTTTAATAAAAAATTAGAAAAACTTAAAAATCAAATTTCTATAGAGAAATATTTATTTCAATTATTAAAAGTTCAAAAAAAGAAAGAACTGGAAAAACAGAAACCATCTTTTGATTTTGAATTGGAAGAATCTGATATTCATTTTTAATCCGATGTCTTTTTTTTTTAATGTAAATATATAAAAATTTTTTTAACTTTGATAATTATTATTGGCAATGATATTTCCGAAATACGATAGGATGATTAATATTAATATTAATATAAAAATAAAGAATATCTGTGACCTTTTTTTTATATTATCTAATAGATAATAATAATAAACGTGAATATATATATTAATACATAATTATAAAAATGAATCCAAGTAAATATATTAGATATACTTGATAACTGTTTAATGTTTTCTAGCTTCTCGATCTTAATAGTTTTGTTTTTTATTTTGTAATTAGAACCAAATTTATAATGCAATTTGTGTCAACATGATAAAAACATTAATGGTTTATGAAGATGTATAGAATATAATAGTCCGCGTGTAAATTTATGATCATTAAAAGCTCCTAAATTTTTTTGGTTGAGCCATTTAAACAAGAAATTATGGAGTTGCTACAAAATAATAGAAGTGGAAAGATATGGAAAAAATTTGTTGTTGTATTTGTTCAAATATTTAGTAAATTATATAACAAGATATTCAAATGTTGATGCCATATTTAAATATTATGAAAATAATGAAGTTGTTTTTTCAGATATACATACAAGATCAGAAGGTGGGGATATAGCATTTATGTGGAAGGAAAATAAAAATTATAGATAGTAGAGTAAATGAAACAATTAGTAATAAGTTGACTGTTAAGTTATGTATAAATAGAAGTACTTATGAAAATATAATAATAAATTTTTAATAAAATTTTTTTAATATATAATAAATTTACAGTCTTTATCAACTTATACTTTAACTAACAATTAAAATGCGAGTGCAACAAAAAATTGCTTCAGAAGTTGAGTAAAGATATCATAATAATTAAAAAATCAATATTAAAAGTTTCCTCCTTCTTTGATATCACAGGCATGGATATAATATATCATTATTATGGTGCAAGAGTAGAATGAGCACTTGAATTCAAGAATAATATAAAGGTCCTGTCAATTATTGAGATTTGTATTATTTATTTACTTTTGTTTGTAATAAACAATATTATTTTTAACTAACTAATGACTTTACACTAAAAAAGAAAATTTAAATAATAGGTTTGGAAACCATTTTCAATAGCTTTGCGTTTTTTTGAAGTATAAGAAAAAATGGAAATGGTCTGACAATGATAATGCATATTTGCCTGGTCCTTTCCTCATATTGGTAATTGGAATGAAATTTCTCCAAAGAAAATCTCATATTTAATGAAAGAACCTTTAAAAAAATAACCTAATCACACAATGCTAAAAAAGAATGGGCCACACCATTAATTAAAGAATCTGTAGGTAGTTTGCATCATTAGAATAAAATAAATGTCAATTAATTAACTAATTAATGTTGTGCCAATTGTTTATTGACAAGGATGTGAGAATATGTTTTATAATCATCTTCATTACATTAGGTAAAGTTGTTGTTTACAAAATTTTTTTTTGTTAACTTTGTTTATTGCATTAAAATGAAAATAATTTATTTCTAAAATAACATATTATTAGTAAATAATAATTTATTTTAAAAATCCTAAATCTTTATATTCTTTTATCAATCTGTCAAGATCACCAACTTTTCTGCTTTTTTATTGTAAAAGGTTTGGGTCCTCTCCCATTCTTCATTAGATTATCAAAAGAATCACTAATAATATTAGAAATTCTTTGATTGATAATTATTGACTTTAATTTTTTGGCAATGTTTGATTTAAAACTGTTAAAATTTCATCACCATCTATCTATTCTTTGCAGAATATTAGTTTCAAATTCTCTAAATTCAATACTTTCTAATTTAATACAATTATTAAAGATTTCCATTAACTCCTGGCTTACTCCATCCTTATAAATTATTAATAAATCTACTAGATTTTTACAGCATTGTGCAATTGATTGAAATAACTTTTGCAAAAGTTCAATATCGTCTGGAACAGCACAAATATCCAGATATTTAAGAGTGTTTCCATTGATGTTAATGAAATCAGGCAATTCTGATAATAGTTGATAATCCATATATAACTCCATAGATTCAATATTGTGGCAGTGAACTATTTTTCAAATGTTTTATTTTGACACCAGGAGCACACAATACTAATGATAAAGTCTTTAAATTGTATAGAGTTGGTAATAATATATTATCTATATCATATGCCTCACTGCCTGAATAATAAATTATTGATTGTGAGTGAGAAGTATTGCTTTTTTGAAATTATCTGGTAAAACTTGATTATCATTGTATGAAGTGATTGATAATTGTTTTATTTGATTTTGTGCCATAATTAGTTGAGTCAGACTATCTCCAAATTTATTATTGTAGTTATTAAAATCTATTCTTAATGTTTGAATGGATTTGCAAATATTTGCTAATTTATCAATAAATTCAATGCTACAAGTGGATTTACAATCCAACTCATTGAGATCCTGAAAGCTGTTATCAAATATATGATAACTATTCACCAAATCCAAATCTATATTATTAGTGCAAAAGTCTTTAATAATTGTTGAATGATCTAAAATAAAATTTATTAATCTATTTTTTAGAATATTTGATCCAGAAGTTGTCAACCTATTTATTAATAAAATAAAGTCTGCTACAAAATCTAGCGTAATTTATGTAATGGTGATTTCTCCAATAGGTTAAAAGTTAATTTAATACAATTTTTGGTTAAGAAATCTTTGTCTTCTTTTAATAAACAATTAATTATTATTTTGGTACTGTTAAATGAACAAAATGGATTTCCCCATAAAAATGGGATATTAATATTGCACCATTGTTTATTGACAAGAATGCAAAAATACAATGTTTTATAATCATCCTTATTGTATTTAAATATTTCGCTTAAAAGCTATTTTTTTTTGTGAAAAAAAAAATTTTTAAATTTTGTGAAACTTTATATACAGAAAATTTTTTTTTTTAAATTCGAGATTCTCATATGTTAATTAATTGCTTTTGCTACTTTTTAATTCGGTCAAGGCCTCTCTGTTTCAAAATTTTCAATCTTGTGTATTCTTGAATCACGAACTGATCAGTTTTTATACAAGAAAAGCCAAAACCTAAGATCTCAAGCAAATCCCAAGAAGGCACTTGCAAGCCTTTATCTTTGCTTATCATGTGAATTAATTTCGTTACCGGATGTTACATTCTCTGCCACAATCATTCCTCTACGCCCTCTTTACTTTTCTCGTTGAATAAAACGTTTGACCCGCTTTAAGTTTAATAATAATAGAATTTACGATTTCACATATTTGATATATGCATGATATCTACATTAATAAAACTCTCCGCCACATTTGACAGTTGAACAACAGCAGAGTTATCAGAGACATAATATCTAAGGAAAGAACAGCCTTAGATGGCTTTGTCACTGTGTATATTAATAAGCGTAAGAGTCTTCTTTGACATAATTACAAAGTACCAGCATTTTTTTGTACGTGAGTCCGTATGGATATTTTTTTTAAAGTAAATTGGGATAAATAGAAAGCCTAAATTTATTAGTAAATAAGTATTTTATTATTTAAATGTAATAATAATCATTTAATAATTTTGAACATAAAATTTACGAATTATTTTTCTTTTGTCCCTTTATACTTTTCCAAAACGTATAAATAAAGCTTCTAGGATTGATTCACTGTACTCTTTTCCAAATGCTTGAAACGCCCCTCTTCTAACTCCTCCGAATTAACTCTCCATTCTTTCGAATTGTTTTGATAATATATTAAATAGAGCCTGAGCTTTCTATTAGTATGGTTTTATGACTTGCAATTGACTGTGAAATAGCTTGATTTAGATCTACCATTAAAATGACATGCAATTCAAAAAATATTCTACGGCTAAATTTCAAATTACTCCACAGTCATAAATTTCATATCAGCGAATTTATTTAGGTTGGATTTTATAAGAAATAAATATAAATGAAATTATTTGTTGTTATTTATATAATAGATTGAATAAAATAACATGGGATCAATGGACAGTCCTGAAAACCAATAAGGAAACTATTTAATTTTTTTATGCGAAGAATATAAAAATAATTAATCTTGATAATTTTAAACTTGATACCCTTTACTTTATTTAAAAAATATTATAATTATTTGTTAATATTTTTCAAATAGTTAAAAGTTAAATAATCGTTATTGTTGACACTGAACATGATTACTTTGCTAAGTAAATATTAATAATAAATACACAGTGTATCTCGATTTAGCGGAATTAGGGGTTTAACGGATAAATTTTCAAAACCAAATCTTTCTATAATTACTTTATCTCGATTTAACGGATTTAACGGATTTTTCATATATATTCCATTTAGTGGATTTTTTTTTTTTTAAATCTATATGTTCGAGCATAATAAAAATACACTGCCCTCCAAAAAGTATTCGGACGATGTTTTCGATAATTACGCAAAATGCCACATAACGAACGTACATAAAATTTATACCATATATGGCTTAGGTTTTGGTGACTCTACATATAAATTTTCATTATACTGTCTTTCTTTTACGATTTTTAGTTAAAAAAAAACGAATACCAAATAAATCGCGAGGATTATCTTTGCGAATTTTTAATAATTTTATGTTTCTCAAAATTTTATATTATTCAATAAAATTTAATAGTTTGTAGTTTAGGTCCTCATAAATAAACGACCAAAACTTTATGTTCCTGTCACGTGTGAAATTTTTGGTATTAAAAATAAACTGATACCAATAAAATTGATTAGATCAAAAAAAATTTCACGATTTTTTTTGATTTTTAAAAATGGCAAAAAATTCAGGATTAACTGAAGCTGAGCGAGGAAAATTTTAGGTCTAAGAATAGCTGGTAGTTCTCTTGCAAAAATCGCAAAGACACTTAATATTCCAAAGTCTACAGTTCACGACACTATCAAACATTATGAGAATGCCGAAAATTTAAAAAAACATATAAAATCATAAAATAAGATAAATTTTGACCAGTGTTTGTTTTTTTTAACTAAAAATCATAAAAGAATGATAAAAAAACGAGATTTTTCAAATAGGTTCTCCAAAACCTAAGCCACATTACGACATAAATTTTATGTACTTTCGATATGTGGAATTTTGCGTAATTATCGAAAAACATCGTCCGAATACTTTTTGGAGGGCAGTGTATCTCGATACAACGGATAATGTCGATCATTAGTGTTAGCTAATACAGGCACCAAACGTAGAAATAAAAAAAAAATCTTCTGATATATATATATATAAAATTTTTTTTGATATGAATGAATAAATTTATTACTTATTATTGTTACATTTTATTGTCGTATGTATTATCATCATATTATTTATTTTATTACTGTACAACTTATCATGCGATCGTTTCATAATATCTTGGTTTTGCGGATATCTCGATTTAGCGGATAACTTTTTTGGAACGAACATATCCGCTAAATCGAGATACACTATATACTATATGGTATGGGATTTACACAAGAGGTTAATTACTCTCAATATCAATTTTTTCAGTCTCCAATTCATTAAGGAAATCCGTGTTTATAACGTACTCTCTTAGAATTATTTCCAAAGAATTGAACCTTGTGATAAGAGAGATAAGATCCGGATCTTTAGAATTTCCATAATGTAATTGGTTTTTTTCGATTAAAGGAATCATCGATAAATTTTTCAAAAGCTTTCTTTTCGACCTTGGTTTATACTTGCAACAACATTTTTGGAAGATTCCCCATGGATCCAGGAGTGATCCGCCTGTTTATTTAAAAATAATTTGTTATTTTATAGTTTATAATTATTATATTAAAAAAGAATTATTAAACTCACCAAATAAAACAGCATAAGCTCCTAACAGCAAGCTAATTGCACCTCCAAGTGGACCGATATTGCTCAAGACCTGAGAAAACAAAATTGCGTTTTATATTTTAAGTTTGATATTTAACAAATATCACATAACACTTACGGTTTCAAACCTAGTAATGATAAAAAATTTGTTAGAAAAGTATAAAATAAAAATGTTCAAAAATTTATGCAATCACCTTTTTTCTGTTTCAACAATTTCAAAATATTCATCTCTAGAACCATATGGGTAAATAAGTACTTCAGTCTGATTGAAATGGCTTAATGTAGGTGCTTTGAAATTAGAAAAGGTAAATTACTATATATTGCAAAACTTTAAATAAACCATATAATCGAAATTTGTAGTTACTTGGAGTTGTTGATTTTGCAATACGAAGTGGAATATGATGATTAGGAAAACCTAAATAATTTGTCCAATCACGAATTAAGTAATTCATTCTAGTCCATTCAATAAGAACCTTATTTTGCTAATTTTAAATTATAAGTTGATAATATTAATTACAAAATATCAAAACATTAACCGTTGGTGTATTTAAATAGATAATACCTTGTTTCCTTGAATAGACACGAAATTAAATTTATTGAGATAACCTATGTAATTTTGGAGGGTAATTTGATCTGTATGGTTTTTTTTGATATCAAGTAATTCTATTTTGTTTGACAGAATATAATAACAATTAATCATTAAATTAAAGTATACAATTTTAAAAGCTTTACAGTTACCTGCACCGAAAGTAATATTACTTATGTCATCTACAGAAATATTCCAATAAAAGTGCAAATGACTAATATAAGGAACATTAATCATATTTTCAGTAGGAGTAAATTTATAATTTCCATCATCAAACAATTTAAGATTGGCAGAACAATCAGCTAAGAAACAGTTTCATTAATGATATGCCAATTCAACAATTAAATTTTTAAAAACTATCATTAGAGGTATACATACTACTATGATGCCAACTTGTATAAAATTCGCAAACGATTTTTATATTTGGATAAGGCAAAGTGATATTAAATGCTTTTAAAATAACAAGAAAATAAATAATTTTGCTTAAAAAAAAATTCGAAACCATTTACATTTCAATTAGATAATGATTTGCTAATATACACTACTTGGAAACGGCTGTGAGACTAATTTAGCCATAGAAAATTGAATCGAAGGCTCATCCTTTATAATCAAATCGATTAAAACATATATGTACACAATTAATCCACTTAAAAGGATTATTGTAACAACAACTTTAGTCCACCATAATAACGTTGGTTCGGTATTTCTGTGTCTTGGTAGTAGTATCATCATTTTTATTAGTAAAGAATAGTTGTCTTAAAAAATCTCCGTTTCACAATATAAGCCAGTAGGTTTATAAGCTTCGTCACTTGTGTTTCTATTCAAATAAAATTTTTTTGAATAATGTTGGTTGTTTAAATAACAAATGATTGAAATATGTATTATTACAATCAGCCGCTTAAAAACCTTGGTTTGATGAGCCGATAAACTCTTGCCTGTCAAAAATTTACTCTATGATTAGTTTCAGTGTCTTTCCGTTTATGTTTTTTCCATAAATGTATTTATAGGTTTCACTGGTATGCATTTAATTAATAAAATGGATAAAGTTCAGATAAATAACTGAATAAAACTAATTAATAAAATGGATAAAGTTCGAATAAATAACTGAATATTTAATTAATAAAGTTTGGAAAAATTGTTGAGTGCAAGTTAATAACTGGTTTATCCGAGAATGCTAAATCTTCCAACTATATAAGAAACCCTATCAGAATTTAATCCAGTTCTCTCAACCAATGATATAAAGTCCATTGCTTGACATGCTGAGAAATCCAACACTTTTACAAATTGCGCTAGCATTAATTACTTTAAATGCGCCAAGATCCCTAAATTTTAATGGACAATGTCCAGAAGGCTGGGGATCTCGAGCCCACTGCACCAGTGTTGTGACCAGAAACTCTTTTGACTTCCCGAAACGTTTCGGAAAATGAGCTTACACTAAGCAGAAAACTAAACCTAAACATAAACATAAACTACTAACCTAAACCGGTTTCTGTTAGTTTCTGTTTCGGGTTTCCCTAAACTCAGAGTTTCGGGTCACAGTTTTAAGTTAATCACCTGTCCATGTTCTGTTTGAAGTTTTTGAACAGAATTTGTAATTGACTTGAAATTAATGAACATTATTAAAGACTAGGCTAGAAAATTTTTTTAAAATTTCCGAAACGCTGAAGGCGAAATTAATTTCGCCTTCGGTGATTGGCTAAAATCACAGTTCTGTGTTAAAGTAGCTCTCTTATTGGTTGTTAGTTGTGTAATAATGTATATCTCCATTGCATAAAACAATAAGTAGTAAATAGAGTTAGCAACGAAACTATTTTGGAGGAGAAATGAAAGTCAAAACTTAACTTGTTTCTGCTTAAATAAACTAATTTTATACAAGTTTAACAATATAACAAGAGTTTACAACTTTTTTATTGGTTATTACATTTAATAATACTAATCATTTTCAATGGAAAAAGTGTCAGCTACATTTTGAGGATCCCACATATTACATTTCATATGACCCTGGGTTAAAAAATTGAATTCACAAATCAAGGCCTATTTGCTAATAAACTATTTTGATAGTTTCAGATATTCAGATTTATTCGGACTTATTCTGCCATTTCGGAAATAAATGCTAAAAATCCGAAATAATAGCTAATTTGATTGTCGTGTAACAATTCTTTCTGATCGTACACAGCAGATCTAAAAAAAGTAATTAATAATTAATAGTTAATTTTCTAAAAAATAACTAGTATCTCCATTTAAACAATGTAATTAATTAATTAAATAAACCACTTGGACAACATAGATATATTTCACAATGACTATTTAAGCAAATAACTAGTATCTCCATCTAAACAATGTAATTAGTTAATTAAGTAAACCACTTGGACAGCATAAATATATTCATAATGACTATTTAAGCAATAATTTTTGTATTATCATGAACAATGTACAAATTTGTGTACTATATATAAAAAAAGAAAAAAAAAATTTATTATTTTATCTTAAAATATAATTGTAATTATATTTTTTATATTATGTTTGTGATAGTTGTGATGATGATGAGTCATGTAAAAAAAAATTTTAAATAAAATGTTATGTCTACTATTAATGTTTCAGCTTATGCTTACATTTCGGTGGCAACGTTTTCTATATATTGGATCATTATTGTAATTTATTCACTTCCTAACTCGAATATTGTGGCTTCTTTGTAAGGTTTCAAAAAAAACAAATACATAAGTTGACAAAAATAAAAATAAATCGACATATTAATAAACTGAAATACTTTCTTCCTCAGATATACTGATATTGTTATCATTATCACTACCATTACCGTTATCGTTATTAAGAGATTCTTCAATAATAGCCTCTTCTAAGTTACTTTTTTGAGTGTGTGATATTAATTCATCTGGAACGTCATTATTATTAGATGTTGATACATGAACATGGATTCGTTAGGTAACAATAATATCATTATCGAAAAAAAACTGAGTTGTGTGTGAGTTACATTTAGATTTGGTAATGAGTTACTGTTTTGAGCGTGTGATATTAATTCATCTGTAACATCATTATTATTGGATGTTGATACATCATCAGACATAGACATGGATTCATTAGTAACAATCATGCAGAAAATCGTTAATTGGTGAAGGTATATTCTACAAAAAAGATACATATTTGGAATATGTGTATGAATGTATGAATGTATGAATGTATGAATGTATGAATGTATGGATGTATGGATGTAGTATTTATAAATGTGTATATATAAAATAAATCATTCACCTTTGTAGGTTTTTTCCTATTTACATATTCAATTAGTCTATTGGATATATTCTTTAATGAAATTTCAAGCGAATCTATTAAATTTTCTTGGCTTCAAAAAATTCTGTCATAATTTCTTCTTTGGACAGATCATGAGCTGTCCCTAATTCTATTACAATATTCTTAGCATATAGTTTGAAATCTTCATCCTTCAATCGACCTTCTTTTCTTCCTTCTCTACTTTCTCCCCTTTGCAGTTTGAAAAACATTATTATTATTTTATTTATTTAAGTCTTTGAAATACACTAGAATAGCGGCAGTGGTTCCATACGAGTGATGACAATCGCAGTCGCTGCCACCATTCTTTTTTAATGAATTAGAACTAGAGTGACAACGAATGGCAACAACCACCATTCTTATGATAAAGACTTACCCTTGACAGCATCAAAGGTATCTTCTTTTCTTCTTTTTTTTTCTTCCAGACATTTTTTTTTAAAAAAAAAAAAAAAAAAAATTATTGCTTGATCGACAAACGCGTACACTAATTAACTAATTTGTTTTTTTTTTTTGGACTGCCCTGGTCGACTAAGCAATCCTTTAGATTTCAGTTGAACCTTAGAAAAAAGCAATTTATTTTTTACAAGATGGCAAAACGTGAGTCTCCTAAAGAAGACGCGTTAATAACTAACCAGAGGCACTTTTTTTTTAATTTATATTGATATGTCTCATTGAAAATCAAAACACGGAGAGATCTTGCTGGGTAATTATAAGATTCTCATCAAGACAATTGGTATTTTGCTTTTTGTAATCAATATTAATAATAACATTAATACAAAATATATAATTACAAGAAAATGCCAAGGAAACATTGACTATTGAAAAGAAACATTCGAATATGCAATGTTGATTATCAGAAATTAACAGATGTTAAAGCACGCACTCTACCTTGAACATTACAGTCATTCTCACATATTCCTCATGTACACAAGGCTAATTCGACTCACGCCTGATGATACAATGATGCAACAGAATTCCAAGGAGAGGGAAAGATGCCCTGGAGTTTACCCAAGACTGCATCAATTGTCAATGACACCTTCACAACACCCAGACCAGAGATGGCTAACAAGTTAGACAAAAAGTTGTCTGCAATGGTCCTATCTCTAGGTAAGGCTGGCTTTCTGACAAAGCAATCATCACACAAATACCAGCTATCAGTGATAATCAGGAAAAAATTTTTTTTTTGATCCTCTCTATCTATTTATTCTTGTGAATCCCAGAGATCTGTAGACACACATTGTTAAGAGTTTCATTTTGGTATTATCATTATTTGGATGATGAATTGTTTGTTATGTCAATTATTACATCAAATATATTGAATAATAATCATGAACACCATGAATATTTGATGGATGAAGGCATTCACATACAAAGAAATGATTAAATAGCTAAGTCATGTTTGTTTTATTAAATGCATTTATTGATTTGCATATTTTTCAAAAATTTTGTTCCAAAAAACTGCACTATAGAAAAACAAAGCCTACATTTACTAAATTACAAGTAAATAAATAAATATTAATAAACAACCATTTAAAAAGTAAAATTCAACCAAAAATCCAGCAAAAGAAAAAAATAAAGAAAAATATTTATATTATTATTTCATTATCAGATATTGTATTTAATTCCAAATTATTTAATTCTTTACTTTCCAATTCATTATTTTCATTCTTTAATTTATTAACTTCACTTTCCAATTTCTTAAGTTCACTTTTCAATCCCTCGAGTTCATTTGTCAATTTATTGTTTTCACTTTCCAATTTATTGTTTTCACTTTCCAATTTATTGATTACATTATTAAATCCACTGACTGTTTTATCATTTTTTTCGTTTTTATCTCTCAATCCATCAATTGTTTGATTGTTTTGATTGTTTTTACTTTCCAATTCATTGTTTTCACTTTTCAATTTATTGACTTCACTTTCCAATTCATTGACTTCATTTTTCAATTTATTGTTTTCATTACTAAACCTACCAACTGTTTGATCTTGTTTTTTGTTTTTTTCCAATTTCCTGAAATCACTTTCCAAATCATTAAAATCACTTTCCAAATTAGTGTTTTCACTTTCCAATTTATTGATTTCATTATTAAATCCACCGATTGTTTTATCATTTTTTTCATTTTTAACTCTCAATTCATCAATTGTTTGATTGTTTTGATGGTTTTTACTTTCTAATTCATTGTTTTCACTTTTCAATTTATTGACTTCACTTTCCAATTCATTGACTTCACTTTTCAATTTATTGATTTCATTACTAAATCTACCGATTGTTTGATCTTGTTTTTTGCTATAACTTTTCAATTCATTGATTGTTTGATCATTTTTTTTGTTTTCATTTCTCAATTCATTGTATTCACTTTTCAATTTATTGACTTCACTTTTCAATTTAATATTTTCATTACTAAATATACTGATTGTTTGATCTTGTTTTTTGTTATAATTATTCAATTTATTATTTTTACATTCCAATTCATTGTTTTCATTTTCCAATACATTGTTTTTACTCATTAATTCATTGTATATATTAGCCAAGCCATTGTGTTTATTAACCAAGTCATTATATGTAATTTTCAATTCATAGACTATTTCATTGAATTTGCTTTCTGATTCATTACTTTTATTCATTAATTCATTGTTTATATTTTCCAATTCCTCCCGATCTTTTAAGATATTAGTATAATCATCTTTACTAATTATAGAAAGCTCTCCAAAGTCAAAACAGTTGGTTGGTATTGTGACTTGTCCTTGCACAAATTGTTGTAATAATTGCAGTTGTGTGAATTGTTGCTGATTTTGCAAGAGTTGTTGCTGTTGTTGTGTGAATTGTTGCTGTTTTTGTAGGAGTTGTTGACGTTGTTCTAAGAGTTCTATGAGATTTTGTTGGCGTTGAGTGGGTTTTTGTTGACATTCTAAGAGTTGCTGCTGTTGATGTTGTATGAATAGCTGCAGTTGTTGCAAGTGTTCTTGCTGTCCTTGTAAGAGTTCTTGATGTTGTTGTAAGAATTCTTGTTGTTGCAAGAATTCTTGTTGTTGTTCTAAGGGTTGTTGTTGTTGTGAGAGTAGTTGTTGTTGTTGTGCTAATTGTTGCTGTTGTTCTAATAGTTTTTGCTGTTGTTGTAAAAATTGTTGCTGCTTTTGTGGAGGTTGTTGGAATTGTTGTTGTATGAGTTGCTGCTGTTGTTCTAAAACTTCTAAAAGTTGCTCATGTAAGAGTTGTTGCTGTTGTTGTAAATCTTGTTCTTGCTGTTGCTGTTGTTGTAGCATTTGTTGCTGCTGTTGTAGTAAACATTGTTGTGCTTGTAAGAGCTGTTGCAATTGTTGTGCAAGTTGTAGCTGTTTTTCTAAGAGTTGTTGATTTTGTTGTGAAGGTTTTCGTTTTTGTTGTTCCAAGAGTTGTTGCTGTTGTTCTAAGAATTGTAGCTGTTGTTCTAAAAGTTGCTGCTGATGTTGTGTGGATAATTGTTGTTGGTTTTTAAAGTTTTGTTCCAGTTGTTCCAAGAATTCTTGCTGACTCTGTATGAATTGATTTGCATCATAAATATTGTCATCACCATCATACTCATTAAGACCTTCTGAAGTGACAGTTGGATACTCCATTTTTTTTTTTTTAAAAAAAATGTTTTTTTGTGAAACCATACATAAAATTTAAATTTAGAATTATTTAATGTAACACAGCGAACCTCGATTTAACGGTAGTTTGGGCAATTAGGGAAAATTTTTCAAAAACCGTTAAACCGAGATATCCGCTATATCGAGAAGGTTTTTATTAAGGTTTATTATGAAACCGTTCTTTGAACTTTATCCGTAAAACCGAGATTTTAATTAGTATTCGCTAAATCGAGGTCCGCTAAATAGAGATTCACTGTGTATTTGTCGAATGATTTGCTGCATGGTAATTCCAAATATATCAAAAGTATATAGACGATGATCACACAAAAAAAAAATTACTTTCAATTATGCATTTATTTTGTATATATATATATTATATATAATTTTGCAAGAATTAATATAGCATTTTCAAAAAAGCCTAAAAAAAACTAATTTTTGCATGATATCATTTTTATAAAATTAGTTTATTTTTTACATCATTTATTAATAATAACATTAATAATTACATTAATTAATATAGAAAATAATAGTCAAAACAAAAATCGAAAATAATCATATAAATATTATAATAAGCAAAAAAAAATTGTTTTACATATCAATATAAATATATATGAAAAAAATATCAATCAATTCAATATAAAAATATTACACAAAAACGCCAGGTCTACTTACAACTATCTTATTAGTTGAAAACTGTGTTCAGAACTTCACAACAAAATTTAAAATAACTACAGGAAATGCAATTTCAAGAAATGGAAGCGATGTGATTAAATATCTATACACAATATATCACCCATTAGATGAATCAATTAAAACAGGGTTGGGAATCGTACACGTACGTACGTATGAGCTTAAAAATTTTTTAGTACATTGTACGAACATATCATGTGATTTATGATAATTTTTATTGGTTGATCAAATGTAATATATATATATATGTTAAGTTCGTTAACTTTTGTCACAGCGAACTATAATAATAATAATAATAATCAAACTCTTGTCATAATGGATTTTTAAAAATTTTTGCTTCGCATATCACATGTAAAAATATATAAAAATCCACTGTGGCAAGATTAGTATTAGTATTTAGTAATCTTGCCACAACGGATTTTAAATAAAATTTGTT